CAATTTAAATGCCTAATATTCATCAAAGCTCTTCAGTCACCACAAGATGCTGAGATCAGGACTAGACTTTTGGCTCGACTAGATCAAGACCCAAACGTCACACTCAGAACGTTAACAGATGAGTGTAAGCGGCTACAAAGCATCAGACACGACAACAAGTTGATTGAACAGGTAAATCCTAATTTAACCTGCAGTAGTGTCAATGCTATTACTAGGTTAAAAGTTAAGAAGCCGATAACAACTCGTAATAAACCAACGACTGCATGCTGGTTATGTGGTGATTGGCATTATGTACGATTCTGTCCATTTAAAAAGCATATACGTCAGGTGTGCAGCAAACGTGGACATAAAGAAGGTCATTGTCCACCGAATCGTACGTCTCATCCCAAAAAGAAGCATAAACGTTCTCGACATGTGAAATCAGCCGAGTTTAAATCTCTTTCTCTGGTAGCTGCCTTTCAAACAAACTATGACATTCGGAGAAAGTATGTTACCATCCAGATAAACGGCATATCAGCTCGTCTTCAAATTGACACGGCATCAGATATCACCTTAGTATCTAGAGAAACTTATAACTTGCTGGGTAAACCGCCAATGAAGCCATCTAAGAAAACGGCCAAAAACGCATCAGGTGGTGTGTTAAAACTGATTGGTGAATTACAATGTGAATTTTCCTTCAATGGAACTAACTGTACAGGAATATGTTACCTAACAGAACGGCCAAACCTTGATCTTCTTGGTCTAGATATGTTAGATAAACTTGGAATAATGGATGTACCGATTAACAGTGTCTGCAACGTATTGTGTTCATCATTAGACACCCCAGTACTTGCAAAGAAGACAGGTGAAAGGTTACTAGAAAAACTGAAAAGAAAGTTTGCCTCCTTAGCAGTAGACCCAGAAATACGAAGTATGGTGGCAGATGCCATTCGAAACACTCCAGTGTCGTCAGATGAAGTCAGAGAAGAAACTCTTCGAGACCCGATTCTACAAGAAGTTAGAAAGTTCCACCTGGAAGGATGGCCCGCGAAGATCAGTTCCACAGAGCTTCAACAGTTTTACCAGCGTAGACTCTCTCTCTCAATCATCGACGACTGCCTGCTGTTTGCAGAACGTGTCATAATCCCAAAGAAGCTACAACCAGCAGTGCTTGAACAGTTGCACGCAGGACATCCTGGAATAAATCGCATGAAAGCATTAGCACGAAGTTATGTATACTGGCCGCATTTAGACACTCAACTGGAGCAGCTATCCCGTTCATGTACCAAATGTGCATTAGCAACGAAAGCACCGCGAAAAGCAGAGCTGCAATCATGGCCAATACCACAGTCACCGTGGCAGCGTATACACTTGGACTTTGCTGGTCCACTTCATGGACAAACTTACCTTTTGGTAGTTGATGCATATAGCAAGTGGCCAGAAATCTTTCTCATGGAACACCCGACTGCAAGCTGCACAGTCAGTAAGCTACGTCAACTATTCAGTCGTTTCGGAGTCCCGGAATTGATAATTAGTGACAACGGAACACAGTTTACGTCCGTAATTTTCTCACAATTTTGTCGGCAGAACGGAATCCATCACGTCCGAACACCTCCATTCCATCCCCAATCAAATGGTCAAGTGGAACGTTTTGTGAGTACATTTAAAAATGCTCTAAAAAAATCTAAAGGAGAGGGGACCACCGAAGAGATCTTAGAGAGGTTCCTGCTTATTTATCGCTCTACACCGAACCCTCAGACGATTAAGGGGGTCTCTCCAGCAGAAGCTCTACTTGGCAGAAAAATACGAACACATTTAGATGTCATCCGTCCTACGCCAGCTCTTGAGCCTCAACGAAACGTATCGATGGAGAATCAGTTCAATCGACATCATGGGGCACAAAAACGATTGTTCACGGTGGGACAAAAAGTACTTGCTATGGACTATCGTGAGAAACATCCTACATGGACAGCTGGTCGGATCTTGAAAAAGAAGGGGAGTGTGGTTTATGAGGTGTCAGTTGGCTCAGAAGTTTGGGTACGTCATGCTAACCAATTGAAAGCAACTTCGATAGCCAGCAACGAGATTCAATATCGATTATCTCTTGATGTTCTGCTAGACACCTTTGAAATCAAAACGCCTGGAACAGACAGGTCAGTTTCTGTGCAAGCAAAGAGTGATACTTCTTTATTGCCTAGACGATGGACAAATCGAAAGCACAGGCCAGTCACTCGGTTGCAGTTGGACCCTAGCACCAGATCCTACGAATCTGCTCAAAGGGGAGGTGTTAGTGGGACATAGATTGGATTTAGGCATGCTCAATGCACGATTGCTTTGGCGCACGCTGATTGGCTGATTCTTATCCAATCAGCGCTAGTCTATACATGGAGAAGCTTCTAGATTCTTCTTATGTAAAAAGCTATAAATACACTAACGGTTTTCCTATTTTGCTTCTTGCTTCTTGCTTCACCTAACCTTGTTATTTGGAATATAATCTCCTTCCTGCTCAATCGTGTTCTGATTTGGGGCCTTGTCGAGTGAATCTGTGACCGTGAATACTAAGCGATAGGAATAGCTGGGTTATAACCGTAAGAGCGAAAACATAACAAGACTGAACCGGTTCAATTGTGCCTTTTGCACACAAATCGTTTAATGTTTTATGTACTGCATCTCGAAGACCATAAGGAATTATTCTTCTTTTAAGAAAGACTGTATCACCCTGTACTTGAAGTTTTATAGGCTGAATTTTCATACCTCCACTGCACTTAGCACACGTGACTATCAAATCTTTAAGTAAAGCATCATTATTTTCTTTAGAAACTAGGAAAGACAGTTTCACTTTAAGCCTTTTCAAATTCCTTAAGCCCAGTATTGACAGTCCTGTTTCGCAAACTAAAAATTCACAAGGTATGTATGAAGAATTATCATCTTATATAAAGAACTCACAACATCCTCGTATAGGCAGTCTGTGTCCAGTAATCCCCAATATTGATACCTCAGTGGGTCGTACCACAACGTTAGGATCTAAAGATTTCAAGTTCTTGAATGAAATAATGAACTCTATACTGCCTGTGTCCACAATAAAGTCAATAACATGAACCATGAGATGTATATAATCGCTTTTGAATATAAGTATTACCTTTCGAAATGGTAGACAAAGATAAATGACCATTAGGAACAGCTGAATTATTGGGATCTAAATTACAGGATTTATTACTACTTGGGGCAAAATGAACAACAGCTTTGCATACTGTTTGAATGTGTCCTATCTTACCATATCTAAAACATTTAGCATAACGAAATGCACATGAATTACGAGAATGAAGTTTTCCACATGATAAACATTTGCCAAACTTGGTCTCACCTTTGTGATTTCCTTTGTAATTCTTTGTTCAAACACCTTTCATATTTACACGGGAATAGGAGCCACCGTTAAACGAACGCAATTTTGATTGACCCTGAGATTGTATTCCATCATGACGAATAAGCAAAGTATTAGAAATATTCATCGACTGGATATCAAGTTCATTCACTGCCTCGTGGTTAATACACACAGTTCTAGCATCTTGAAAGGAACAGTTCGGCATTCTTAACAGCTCTCTTTCCAAACCCGGCAAGTTAATTCCTGCAATTAATCGATCTCTCAGTTGCACATGAAGTTGATCACCAAAATTTCATTTGGCAGCTTGTTTCTGCAATTCAAGGATGAATCCCTTAACCTTTTGGTCATTTCGACGAGTCACCTTATGAAATTTTGCCCTTTCACGGCATTCAAAACTAGTGCACTTTACATGATTTAATAATAACTCCTTAATAGTTGCATAAGGAAGTGAGATAGGTTTTTCTGGATATGTCAAAGTTTTCTATTAGCTGTATGCTTCTTTTCCGATGAATGTCAGGAAATGTGCCACAATTTTATCACCTTTAACATCCTTCTTGGTCATGCTCCAAATTTCAAAACTTTCCAAATAATCCTCAAAAGCTTCAGAAGTTGAATGAATATCTAACTGTTCCAACGCAGGCTCCATCGCGACGCCAATATGATAATTAGAAGAATTTGAATTATAGTGTGAACTAAGAATCCCAGGGATAACGCAATTGAATCAAGAAGTACTACACAAGCACCAACGAATGTACTGTATTTAGAATTCGAAATCAAACATTCAACAAGTACAAAGGAGTCATTAGTTCATTCAAACACCACAGTAATCCACATTAGGTGCTGATTGTGAGTTGTCGGTTACACGATTCTTGCCTAACTCGAGGAGGCACTCAACCATTCGATATCGGTGATCTGCACTGTTGATTTACAGTTGCCTGTGAATAATAACAATCATAATAGTAATAATAGTGATGATTTAAACCAGATTTAGTAGCAATATCAACATTGATTAATAATTTTAAACATGCCACAAATATTCTGATTTTGACAAAACCTTCACATGCAATACCTTTATTAGAAGTCAGAAACTAGGGGGTTAGAAAATATATTTGGAAAGCCATCGACATATCGGGAAGCGTTTGGTCAAAGCTGGCCAACGGTTGTAAGAGATACTTAGGATGGAGTAAATACTCGTGATCTGCTGAGGGTTTTAACCGGGAGCCTCTAGCTGGGTGTGTTCAGCAAAACTAACGTGGTCAGCATCAATGTCGAAGACATACAGAACTATATTGTCTACCGCAACACGGACTTAACAACGCTGTTGTCTGTAACACCACACCCAGTCAAATTAAAAGTCAAAAATTAAGGAGTCTGTGGACATTTAAAACGTTTTGATGTTGGTGATATCGTTGGTAAAGTCATATTAACTTTTCACTTGGTCCTTTTCTAGTGTGATAAATGGGCTACTAATGAATGGGTCCACTTTCAACGTGAGCAATGGTGAAATTGAGACATATAAACTCCATATTACAAATTATGCCGAACTTCAAGATACTAATAATCCTGTTTGTACTCCTTCGGTTAATTTCAGATTTTTATTCATTACTATCTCAAAATTTTACTGTTCCTATGGTGCTTCGAAGGTTATCGAAGGCGGGATGTTTAGTTGTGTGACCACTCACATTTTGTTAACTAAATAACTGAGATACATATATTATAATCAGACTGACACTAATTTGAAAAATTGTCATTAATATCACAAAGATACCATACAGCATTTACGATTTCTTCGTAATTTGAAGACATTCAATTTTTTGGCTTATTTAGTAATAGCTGGATTACATTTTTATCTGTTGTCACATATCAATGCAGAGTTATGAGATCATTAATCCTCTGAAATCATTTTTCTTAATGCATTTATCATAAGTGCTATGATGGATGACATGAGTAAACAATCTGATTTCAAGTTATCGGTAAGAAGTTTTAGTGTTTTACGATAATTTTAGGTTCAGGGGAGTAGTATCAGAAATTATGGCTCTCAGTCCAGGTATATGTTGTCTGTTAATCGCCTTCCCAAACATACTGATTCTCCTCCTCCTTACTATAGATCAGCCATTAGCTTAGGACCTGTGAGTTTAATCATTTTTAAATTTTTAATGTTCCTATAATTCACTTGTTAACTATTGATAAAAGCTCGGTTCTACCCAAAGTAAATGTCAAGCACCGGATAACATACCGTATGGCTTTGTGGCTTTGAGTTGAATTTCCATGAGTGTAGTACTTGAAGTCTTTCTTGTTAATAAGGAAAATCTCATTCTGCATGCTACTATTGAGATAGTCATGAAACTCATTTTGAGATATTTTGCTGTTCGCTTTATATGTACTATTTCAGGCTATGACTGACTTGAAATCCGAATTAATGTTTGGTTTTTGGTTATGGGAAGATGTTTTGTGCTAGGTTAACATCTTACTGTCCTCTTTTGTTTATCAAAATTTTTTTCAACGGAAAATTTCTTGCCTAATGTTTTTAGCTTTCGTGGTATAAGAGACGTTTATAGCTGGACTATCGACAGCATCAATTTTTTTCAGTGAAATCTTGTGATGACACCTCGTTAAGTTGTTTGAATTTGTATTGGGTACATCGAGAAACTTGTCAGTGTGCTATACCGGTAACTACAGCCAGCTGAAAATGTTTATAAACTGTCAAACCTAGCCATAATATCAATTAATGAAGTCGGTCGTTGGTTCGAACCATGTGTAAAGATGTAGTCTTCTTGATTAGAACTAGAACAATAATTCTAATCCACGGTGGGTGAGATGTCTCAAAATTGATCTCAGTTGCACGGACTTATTTATACTCAAATCTTTGGTTTAATGTCATTCAATATACTTTATTTTTAGCCTCACTTATTTTCTCGAGCTATATTTTGCATTTCTTTATTACCACTGCAATGGATGTTTTTTCAATCGCCTAGTTGTTTCTTAGTTCAAATTATTGTAGCAAAGTGCGCCAATGGGGATTTGTGCCAGGTCCTGCGTTATATATGGCTGACTAAATTTACACGCATCTATATTTTTTATGTGCTTGTTCTTAGACATTTTGAAATTTCGCTTCTGGCGAAGTATAATTGGCATTAACTCTACATTTCATATAAAGCTTTTCCAAACTAGATAAATACCTTTCCTAACGCACAAAAAATTACTTTGTGTTTGCAATGAATAATTTTCACCGCATTTCTGGCACTAATACAACTGCCATATTGTGCGTGTAACTTAGGCCAATATTACTAGTTCTCCATAACTTTGTTGATTATCACTAAACATTGCCTAGAGTCAGTTCCGATCCCACGTAAAAGAGGTTAGGGAGTACGGTTAGCCCCCTAAAAAAGAACCTTGCTATAAAGTACTAGCCAGTAAAACATCGCTAGTATCCTAAATCATTCTCAATAACTCACCATTAAATAAGGTCCTGGTAACTTAATGGTATTGATATTTTTCTAATTTATTTCGTACCACTTTAGTTTTAAATGTGATGTTGGTTTTCCTCTTTTAGTTATGTCTCAAGAGTTTTCAGTCACAACAGTTCTGTTTGTAAATACCCTCAGTCAGTGTTTATAATTTTTTATATGTATAAATCTCAGTATTTTTGGGTGTTTCAGTCTCAAAGTTTGTTTATTTACTATTTGTTTGGTATTTTAAGACATACGGTTACTATTCTGCGATAGTTAGTGATTCTCAATTTAGTTGGTTTCAGTGTTTAAGGTGCATTTCACTATTTCAACGTAACATAGTGTCTTTCGTTGTGGAACAAAACCTCATCCTGTGGTCATATTAACACCGTAGTAAAAGCTGAAAACTCTGGTTGTTATTTCCGATTTCCCTTTGATATTTCGCAACACTGCTACTATCGTTTTGAGTTGCCCAAGTTGTGTCCATGTACGAAAGTCTATACCGTATCTAAACGTTGCATTTTTAAGTCAACTGTTAGCTTGAACACTTATTATTTATTTGTTTTAGAAATCAGGTTCCACATTATGGAATAGCAGCACATCAAATCTCGGTGGCAATGTAAGCGACAGATTAAGTGACTTGAATGGTCGTTTTTCAAAACTTGAACTAAATGAAAGCACTAATTCAAGTAAAAAATTGTGCAACGGTTACCACACTGATTATTGCTCGACCAAAAATCTCCATTCTATAGATCGACGGGAATTTTCAGGGATCAATAATACTAATAGCAGCAGGAATTCGGTACGTTGTTTGGACTCTCCAGTAGCTAGTCCTCCTCGTGCACCAATTAGTCTTCCAGTAAACTCTCATCAATCATATCACAGAGGTGGGCTTGTTGGCCTTAACAATCTTGGAAACACTGTAAGTCAAATGTTATTATCTTTTTAGTACAGATTATAATTGAAAAATTTTGAAATATTAATTATCGTTTAGCTTCACCATTATTTCAACGAAGTAAAATCTCTAAAGTGTTACAGTACGTATATTTATATATTTTATGTAAAATTGTTGTAATTCATAAAATGTGTAGCAAAATAAATAACTGCAAACTGATTTTTCAAGGTAAAGCTGAGCTGGTTTTTAGCACTTATCATTAATATGTAAACATTTTTAGATTGTGTCAATCAAATAACACTTAAACTCACTTCAGACACATTAAGTGATCAGTTAAGTAAACAAATAAGTTATTATTCGTTTCATAAAGAAATTTATAATAAACTTTAAAAGAAAATCTTGGTGATTTCTAAGTGATCATATTAACTAATGGTTTTATATCTTTTAAAATCTGTGAAATTTAATTATCAAAGACCTTCCTAAAAAGATGAAAACATGGTTGAAAAAGCCCTACCAAATAACGTGATAATGATTGAGATCATTAACCGATTGATGTAAGACCACCATTGAAAATCTAGAAGCACTGGACGACCGTTTCGTCCTATTGATATGATATACGAAAGTATATAAAAATTGATAAAAAGTTGAAACAAGATTTACACTTATAATAAAATTTTTTTATCTTCTCCCTCTTAATTGTATGGAGTGAAATTTAGATAGAAGACAATATTATGTCAACAAAAGTTATTTCAATTTTTACAACTCGACTTTCAGATAACTCGTCATAATGGTTGTACCTCATAGTCACTATTAAAACCTTGTTATTAATTCAGGAAACAAGAAACCGAATAATGTATATGTATATAAAAAAGTATAGGATGTATGATTTTAAATAGACTCAAAGTTAGTTTCTCCAATGGCTCATACATAACCTTGCGGTGGTTATACTGATAACACACTAAGTAAATGTAGAAAATCAATGAAACAGAATAATCTCAGCACATAGCAAGTTCTGATTTGTCTTATTGAGTTAGGTAATACATAAAATTGATGCGTTATACATGAATCCTTGGTTTAACACGATGTTTTTGATGTTCCGGTTTGTAAAATGTTGTTGAGATGCTGACAGTAGTGGCATTTCTACAAAGTTAGGTGTTCTTTCTTTTGCCAACGGATTTAAAGTTAATTGGTTTATTTGTTTCTATTAAATTCAACTATAAAGTCATAAATATTTGGTGTATTTATAAGTTGGAATAAGGACTTCTTGGTTAAAATCTACATAATGATCGTAATATGTGTATGATTGTAGACTTATAATGACATTGTCACAAGTTGGTCTCATTTACACAGTTGAATTCACTCTCTATTTTCTTCAAAATTTTAAGCTTAACTTCTTTTATTACATTTCATTCTTTGATATCATTTGGTCTTTTCGAAGTACTTTCAACTCACTTTTAATTTTTTGCTAAAAAATTGTGATATTATTTAAATATCCTTTTTAATTGTGGTATTATATGTGAATTATGGTAATACTGACCAATACAAATTAATACCATATAGCTCATATCTGCAGGTATCACCGGGTAAGCAATAGTGAGGTTAGACTCAGGGTATTAGGGAATGATGGTAAATAAGTTGATGAGGTTATAAATCTGCATCAACTGAGATAGTCGAGCTACGTGTTACATGTACTGGAACGTCGATTACCACGACACGCAATGCTGACTAGTGTTAGGGATGGTTGGAAGAAAGTTAGGGGTGATCAAACCAAAACGTGGCATTGATGCTTGAAGTCACTAACTTCTGATCTGAGCCATGTTTGTATATGCAGACTACTTGGTTGGGATCCATGTGACTATCGTAACCAATGTTTGGAGACTCTTGGTGACATGGCTCAGAATCGATCACAATGGCGTCAGTGTATACATTCTTTGACTGCCCTTAAACCATGAGATTAAAATTGCTTAATACCTTTCTTTCTACAAACTAATGCTTTCTTCCCGTATCATACCCTTATTCACAATGTTTCTTTTATATATTACTACCATTAAAGAAACTACTTTTATGAATTTGGTGTTCATCTTGTTGTGTTAACGAGGTGTGGGAACTTGAACCGATGTATATATGTGCCTGATTCTACGTTGTCGTCGACTGACTGACTGACTAACCATATTATATGTCATCTATAATAGAATTTTTATATTTGGTGGAAAAAAACACTAATATAAAACGTATATTAATAAGAATTATTTCTCGTAATTGGTTCCCTACATAATTTTAAACAGAAGAAATAAAATGACATTAATTATAGAATACAATGAATTAATTATGTGTTTGTTACTTTTGTTACTTCAACTATATACAAGTAAATCATTTTAGTTATTTTGAATGGTGAATATAATTTAGAATTTGAAGAATTCTCTTGTTCATAAAATAAAGAGTAATTTGTTTGGTGAGACTATCATTTATGAATGACCTTTGAGTGACTTTAAAATGACCTTGCGAGTATCCACCTAATAACTAAAACCAAATATGGATTATAAACCAGTATGAGAAATTCGAATTATGATTTACAGTGGATGATTAAAGTTAGAAATTAGATTTCGGGTTTTCATCATGAAATGATAGCAAGTATAATGCTAAAAATACTATTTAGCGAAATGGCTGAGTGAATTTCGCGCCAAAATCCAAGACCTATTATCTTATACCTGATTGGTTTGTCCACAAATTGATTTTATTAAGCGGTTATAATAAAATTGAGGAAACTAAGAAAAAGAAAGAATATTTTCTTTTTAATTTATTCATTTATATTTAACTTGTAAGAAATTAACAAAATATAATAAACTCATTAGTATTATTTATAGATACTTTCTTTATTGTTTTTACTTAAGTTAGCAACAATTGTTTCATAAGAGAATATGTAGCATAGAGATAATTAGTTTAAACCATTTTAATATGATAAATAATTGTTTTCAATTCTCAATAACATTTCATCATTGTTTTACTATAAATAATCGTTATCAGTATATAGGTTAAGTTGAGATTAATATCACGAATGGATCAATGTTAGAGCATTGACGGTTCTGGGTTCGAGTCTCACATGAAAGATTATGGATACTCATTATTGAGAAGTTTCATACTAGAATGAAATGATCATCCAGTACTTTCAGGTTTCCGTTGGCGGTCTAACATTTGATCCATTCATGATATCCTCGTGATTATCGTAACCAATAGTTGGAGATTCTTGGTGACATGGCTCAGAATCGATCACAATGGCGTCAGTGTATACAGTCTTTGTCTTCCCTAAAACTATCAGATTAAAATTATTTCATATTTTTCTTTCTACAAACTAATTCTTTCTTTTTGTACTATATCCTTACATAAAATATTTCTTTTATATATTACCACCATTGAATTAACTGCTTCTATGAATCCGGTGTTCATCTTGTTGTGCTAATGCGGTATGGCAACATGAACTGATGCATATATGTGCCTGATCCTACTTTGTAACTGACTGACTGACTGATATAAACTAAACTAAATGGTTATATATACATACATACATACATACATACTGTTAATTGATACTCAGATTGAGTTAATTAAAAATAACATGAAATCGATTAATAATTTGGCAAGCATTTAGTGTTAAGAAAATATTTCGAATATTAATAATAATAATAATAATAATAATAAGTTTTTTATTGAAAAAACTTTATTGACAAGTAGAGTGTTTTAGTTGGTAGATCTGTTATTATACAGTGATGTTCGTTGATAAAACTGTTATTCGTAAATCTATTCTTCTTTTGAGTTATTTATAAATAACTTTTATTATATACTCTAATGGTTAATTAACTTGTTTACCTTTAAAACGTTACATTTTTTTTTCTAATCCACGTGTGTTTGATAGCTCAGCGGATATGATATAATACTTAAGTGATTACAATAGGTAGAACTGGTAGGTTACTCACGTAAACCAGGTCTCAAAACAAATGATATATATATATGGTCTATCAGGGTGCTTAATACCTGTGTGGTTGCTCCACAGGATTGAGCTGTACTATTCAAATTGTAGCGCTAAAGCCTATACGGTGTCTGGCTCTCCTGTGAAGTGGGATTGAGCTGTACTGCTCGGTTTATAAAATTTAAGCTTGGGCGGTGTCTGGTTCTCTTGCAAACCAATGTAAAATTACCCTGGCCCACAAGAGTATTTATATATGGTAAGAAATTCCCGTTATTAATCTCAGTCACAGTTAACGTAGAGTTCAGTAAGATTGCTCGTCAGCTCGTTACATATCCTATCAGCACGATGCGATAAAATAAACAAGTTGAATAGTAACATCGGTGAGAGTATAATTTATAGACGAACCAATCAGATTTACGATAAAAAGTCTTAGATTTTGGTGCGAAATTCATTCACCCATTTGGCTAAATAGAGTTTTGGTATTATAGTTAATGTCAATTCGTGATGAAAACTCTAAATCTAATTCATTACCCTAACCATCAACTGTAAATCATAATTTTTATTCTTCAAACTGCTTTATAACCCTCATTTAGCCCTAGTAAGTAGGTAGACACTCTAAATGTCAATTTAGCGTCGATCAAAGGTCGTTCATAAATTATAGTCTCACTGACGGAACAAAAAAGCATGTAAGAAAAATATCCTCGAACTCAATATCTAGTAGAAAATAATAAGTGGACAATTGATTAAGATATGACGTTATACATTTGTGTATCTGGACCATATCTTTGATACTGAAAACCTTTTATTGTTACTTATTGATTACTTGAATTTGTTTCTAGCTAACTTTCTTTTTCTTTCAAATATACAATCGTTATTCAACCGGCCTCAACCAATGCTTGTTAACTATCATATATATGAGTTTATAGTATAGATTAGTTGCTCAATCATCCTTTGACCTAATTTTCTAATCAGTAGATGTTATCCACTATTTCTATTGAATATAACTTGCTTCATTATGAAATATGATACATATAGGAACGACTGGAACATTTTTTGTATTGGTTTTGCTATTTACCATATATTATGTTATTTAAGTAATTACTTGACTATTTTCTTCATAAAAATACTCTAATTCCCTTTTCCTTTTTCTCATCTTAGTGTTTTATGAATTCGATTCTTCAATGTTTAAGTAATACGGCTCCGCTTACCGAGTATTGCTTGGAAGATCGATTTTTAAAAGACATCAATAAATCAAGTTCCATGAATGGGATGTTATTTCATTGTAGGTTGAACTTGAATTGTTATTTTGTCCTTTTTTTTTTGGTATGAAAACTCTAATGACCTATCGTCAGTAACTGTGATATAAAATAGTAAACAAATTACTGAAATGGATCAAATATAAATATGTAACTTTTTGTAATAAGATTTGTATCTCATATATTTCTGCAAAATGGTAAACATACTCTACTTACTATTTAGTAAAATAAATTGAAGAGGTTATCTTGAGTCTCTCATTGAAGCAATAGTAAAGTCTAATAATCTCTATTCACTTGGTGTTGTTTACTTGTATCTTCCCATTGTTATTTAAGACTGTAATTGATCAGTCTTTTGTTGGTATGTGTGCATCCTGTGCAGATTACTTCGATATTGCCTGAAGTCACAAGCTTTATAAGCAAACATGGATAGTGGCTACCATTGAAATCCAGGACGCGCGTTTCGTCCTATGTGGTACTCTAATAATCCCTATTCAGTATTTTAAATTTAGTCTACTGACCTCTTAATCGCTAGTAGTTTATTACTTTTTTAGAAAATAAAGAATTTATTAGAAATATGAGTAAAAAGAAGAAATATTTCTTTTCTCTATTCATTTTTTTACTCAGCGTCTGAATGGGAATTTCCACCATAATAAAATATTTGATAAATTGATTATTAATATCAGAAGGGTTTTTGTGGATACTATAGTAATTTCAATGGTTGAGATCATGAGTCAATCGAAGCTAGACCACAATGGAAAACCTGGAAGCACTGGATAGCCGTTTCGTCCTATTGTCGGACTCCTTAGCAATGCGAATCCATGATTCCGCCTCACGAGGTTCGAACTCAGGACGTATCAGTCTCGCGTGCGAGCTCTTAAACAGTGATTCCAGGTTTTCCATGGTAGTCTAGCTTCAATTAACTCATGATCTCAATCACTAAAATTGTTTATTAACAATACACTGGTTATATCAGTAAAAAACATGATTTTTTAGTGACTTGTATTTTATTTCTCCGTCTTCCTCATCATTATCAAATAGCATATGCTGATTTAATGAAAGAAATTTGGGATCCTGATTTGGCTAATTCTTCCACTAGTCCAAGTCGATTTAAAAGTCAAATTCAACGATTCGCTCCTCGCTTTATGGGATATTCGTAAGTATATATTTCATCATCTATTTATAATTTCGTATTTACATGAAAGTTTACGTAGTGTGAAATAAAAGGATATTTTTGATAATAATTTTAAGATATTTCTATTTATGGCTATCAAACGTGGTCTATAAAAAGTCATAAGCATGTATAAACTTCTTATTTGACAAGTCGGTAGAATATCGTAATCTAAGTATAAGGCGTAGTTAATGAAATAGCTCTGTCATCGATTGGAAGGGTGCGTTTTTATTTATTCTTTGTTTTTCTCTACAAATTCAATTCCTCAGTTTCATCTGTACATTTCTTATGTTTATTTTCCCCTCTATAATCGATATTGTTCTTTTCTGTTTCCTCTTTGTCAATCGTATTAAAGTAAGCTTGACAACTTTGATTGATATACATTCGTAAACAACTCTTATCCTGTTACTGAGTAAATAACTTTCCTGATGACAGATTGCTATGTTTGAAGAGATTAGGAGATCGCCTAAATTGGCGAATGTAACGAAGGGTCAGCGACAAAACGATAAGACAAGCTAAAATGTTCCTATGCATCTCAGTTCTGCTAACTAGAGAGAGAAGACGAGGTACAGATGAGTGAATGGTATATTCCACAAGCAGTCAGAGGCACGCACAACTGCATGCACACAACTCAAGCGTATATATGCATCATAAAAATGTCCTTGAGAAACCTCACAAAACAGTGTATTAAAAGAGGTAACGAACCAATGATATATAGGGTCCTTCCAAGTGGGAAATGCAACTTGAAGGTAAAAACGGGCGGTTTGGGTGCGAAAACGAAAAATTCAAAAATTCCGAAATAAAATTAAAAAAAATAAGACATTTACCATGTGATTTTTAAGGATCTAGCATCCCAATACAGATCGCATCAACATATCTTCGAAATTGTCGTTCTAATCATATTTTCAGTTTCCATATGTATTTTTGCAAATAGTTAAAGGAAAGCTAGCATAGTTTGTAACCTGCGTGTCTACTAATTTTCAAAAGCTGTTAGCAACCCCTTGATAAATAAGCATTTGTTTCACACCACAGACTGACTTTGGTTAGCCAACCTTGGTAAACATAGAAGAACTAGAGAAGTGGTGATCAGTAGAATCTAACCACGTCGGGAGTGAAGCACACTATTAACAGCAATGGATGATGGTCACGAAGCAACGCGAACTGACTGAAGTTAGAGATGTAAACATTGAATATTAACTGCAGTGGTCTGAAGGTTTTGGATGCCTATTGCAGTCATGGATATACTTCTTCTTCTTCTTCTTCTTCTTATTATTATTATTATTATTATTATTATTATTATTATTATTTGAACACATAGGTATTGGTACAAGGAGGCACCAAATACATATGCGCCATACAAATCTCATTTGATTTGTGTGAGGGCTGTGATGCTGCCTGGGTGCCCAAACCGAAGCAGGTGGTTTTCTTAGGGGGCCACACCCGGAGCCTTTGACCTAAAGGTCTGATCCACAAGGCAGTGGAGCAACGTCAGGAGATGCAGTCCGATGGTAGCCGGTGGCCAACGATTGGTCCATACGCCATTTGTTCCTTCAGGATACTGGAGCTAGCCCATGTACACCATTGGTTTGAAATCAGGGTTTTCCAACTCCCCAAGGTGGACTCTCCGCGTCCACCAACCCGGTTAAAATGCCGGACATACGCTTTTCGTTCTCTCAATTTCGTAAACAACGCCCCCGCCACGAGAAGTTAGTGAGCAGAACTTCCCTGGCAGAGGTTATATACACGTGGCCATGTGAGAGCATTTTGTGAGGGTGAGCGGACTCTCCCCACTCTCGGCCGTACCAGGGCATTTGGGGGCTAGGATGTACTAGGACAAGACTGCTATACGATCCTTTCTGTATTTAATTGGTTGCCTAATCAAACTGTGGCAGCTTGTTTCATTTCAAATTTTTGGTTCTTTTTTTACAGAAAAAAAAACAATAAAAGCTTTATACTTATAGCAGTTTAATCCATCTATTTGAATACTAGCAAAATGATAAATAGTTAAAGAGAGTAGTTTAACAATAAAAATAGTAAGAATTCTCTCACAAAGTATATACTATATTACTGATTAATTCTTCCCCCCCCCCCAAGAAACAAATGCTATAATCAATACTGTTTGGTGATGTTGAGTACCCTGAATTACATAGTTTTATTATGAAACGTTTACATTGTCATTTTGGACAGCATAATGTCGATATTGTTTGTAAGATTTAGGTAAAATCTAATTATGATTTTACAGATTATAGATAATTTATTTACTGTCAAATCAGTATTGACCGTGAATGGCAAATATCTAGTTATTTTTTTATTCATTCATTCATTCAATCAATCAATCGTAATCAACCTAGAATATGGCACAAATGTGTATCGATCCATGTTGTCACATTTCACATAAGCATCATAACGAAAGGAAATTCAATGAAAAACAGAAGAGCAGAAATAATGATTGTAAATGGATCAATTATAGTAGTGGGCTAAATGTTTAAGAAATATGGTTGAGAATAATATGAATGTTTTGAGTGATTAGTTTTAATGATATGTTGATTTGCTGCAATGCAACTTATTTACTGAAAACTCTAGCCATATGAAAGGTGATCATTGGTATCCGGCTGAAATAGATTGAAAATGAATTTGAATCTATAACCTTGTGATTGAAAACTTTATGGTCTAACTAACAAACAATTCAAATCATCATGTTACTACTATTTTTGGTAGTTATCTTGATAATTTTTATCTAGTTGCATTGATATATTATGGTAATTTGAACAGATGCACATATTTGGCAGGTTCTGCATTGCTTGTATCTGATTAACCTTATCTAGTAAATATACTATGTGACGAATAGATTGTAAGAGCTGACCAAGTCAATAACTTGTATGGTTAAACATGTTTCTAACTAAAAGTTGTACAAATTCTAATCTTATTAGAAAACATTTCATTTAATTCCAGGTACTTTCTTCATTTATGTATATATGTGTGAAGTTATTGTTTGTTTGGTTGTTTTGCCTTGTAAAAGAAACCTGTTGAGATGATTTGTGACGAGAATTCTATATTGTACCAAACAAATAATATTGAGCAAAGCCATTAAGAATAATCATAATGCTAAAGTTATGTTTGAGGTATTATTTTGTCATTAGTGAAGATATACTATAGACTAATTTTATCTTCTAGTCAACAGGATTCACAAGAATTCTTACGATATGTATTGGAAGGTCTTCATATGGAAGTTAATCGTGTTCAAAAGCGTCCAAATCCTATTAAACCAAATTATGAAGCGGAAGATTGTCTCCCGTGAGTTTGATTTTCATTTTTTTTTTAAAAAAAAGAGAAAATTCGACAGGACTATTCTACACCTACGATCACCGAATTTATTAATGGCCTTAAGATTAACAAAACACGATGCGACTTTCGTGTAAGAGCTCTAAAAATATACGCAAATGAAATACGAAGATTAGGAGTTCTAACTAAATATCGATAATTCGTGCTGGATATCATAGTTCCATAATCCGAAAAGACCCTGTTTATTAACTTTACATCTTTTAAAACCTGACACCTAACCCTAAAATTGTTAGATTCTAGTTCCTAAACCCAAAGCTATTAAGCCTAATACTCCTCAACATTAGCTCTTCATATTAATACTCCTAACCTTAAACCTGAATTCTAACTTTAAATCTCTTAACTTTAACACTCCTGACTCAAACATCCTGACCTTAACAATTCATTCAGGAAACCATCATACATTCCTTTCGAAATACGAAATATAAAGAAAATCATAAGTTTTAGGAACAAGTTTTCCGTAATAGCGTTTTAAATTCTGGCATCGGTTAGCTTAATTTTAATTGATCGCTTAAGGATGTCGGTATGGTATAGCTTTACCAAAATTGCTTTTCTATTATCTTTATTTTGATAAAAAAGTGTAGAATTATGTTATATTTTAATCCCTATGATGTTATATTAAAAAACATACTTTGTGAATCAGTTGTCATTTATTATGTATCTTTTCCAATATTAGAATAAACGTAAGTTTAAATGGAAAAACAGAACATGATTAATTGGAGAATACAATGATTTATAAATATAATTTGTAATTTACACTAATTGGATAGGTCTATAGAGAGTGAATACAGTAGTTAGGAATTGGATATTTTAATAGGTTTTTTTCAAAATTTATAAATGCTTGAAACAACTGTATGGAAATGTATAAACAAGTCCAAATTTGTAAATCTGGTATACCAATAGGATCAGTTATCTTGATGATTAATTTTCTCGATTATAAATTATTAGTGTTGATGGTTAGCTAACAAAAATACAGTCAATTTGTAAAGAACTGGTCATATACAGTGTAAAGAATACTAAAGAGAAAGCAATATAATACAATGAATGTATTATATTCTGTCTCGACCGTTGCTGCTACTTTGATATGATGGTTTAGCTTGCCCATTGTGATGACCCAATTAGGCTAGACTGGCTGGAACAATCATTCCTCAAGGTTCTACCATGCCAGACAGGTCGGTTGAAGAGCTGTAGGACTAGAAGCAGCAAACACAAGGTCCGAGAGCGAAGTCGTACTGTTGATTGTACAGAGGTGTGAAGGCAGTAAGGTGTTTCCTTCAGACAGCCAGATCAACAGCGATACTGCCTTCTCACAAAGGAACACTGGGCTTAGAAAATGTCCACCCTAAAAATGCACACCTCACCTTATTCCATAGATTTCCGACTCTGATGGTAAGGTCTCAACAAGTACGGATCTAACACGAAAATTACTCACAAAAAGGTTGTGTGTGACCGACCTCAAGCAGTTGTCCCTTGGGCACTGTGGTCGCACTTTCAGGTCACTAGGACCACCTCTGACCCGATTTCTTTTTCAGGTACTGTTATATCTAGAAGGTTGATTACTTGATAAACCGCGTATAACTGAACACTAGAACGCCAAAACCCTTCCAAGTCGCAAGGAGAAGACAGAAGACTAGTGAAAGGAATATTATTCCAAACAGTGTCAATTATGGTACAAATTGTCAGGTATTTATAGTTTTTAGTAAAAACAAATATCATCATTATAGTCCTCCAATCCGCATACAGGGGGTTATTAGCCTTGTCCAATCGGGAAGCTACACGTAGGAATTCTAGAATATTCTTCCTAAAGGGGATTGGATGGAATATCTTCGGCTTCTTCTGAGCCTCTTACAGCTTCCTTGAGTTCACCCGTGGTCCGTCGTCACACCTCCCCCCTTTAAAGTCCGTTGTGTAAGACTTCTTTCTCGGATCCACCTGGAACTTGGTGGCCGCATTCCTCTTACGGGTCCATCATTCTCGGGGGTTGTACAACTTTTCCCTTGCGTCGTTTGTCTCCTCTATGTTTGCGCTCTTGATGGCTTTTCTGAAGTGAGCCCACGAGCAATTGAAATTGGAGCCGGCTTTCTGGGACCACTGTACTTCTGTCTCTTTGCATTCGATTTATGTGTCTTATGCATTTTCCGATACCTTTCCTGACTAGGTACAGTACATTTCCGATTCGACGTTCTATGACACCTGGTTCCCAATTCCTATTACCTTGATACGATTTGACAAGTACCCTTTCACCCACCTGGAAGCTACGAGTGACCGTGCGATACTCATTCATGGGTTTTATTGTATTTCTGGGTGGCAACATACTGTTGAAGACTGTCCGAATTTTCCTTCCGAACATACACTTGGCTGGTGACTTTCCCTCTAGTACTGCCGGATTAGGGGTAACTCTGTAAGACATTAGGAACTTACTGATCACTTGTTCTGGGATACCCTCACCTCTCCCCTTTACCAGAGCTCTTTTTATCGTATCCACGAATCTTTCTGCTTGGCCATTCGACTGAGGATGGTACAGAGGAGATTGTAGATGCGATATGTCATTTTCACTGCAAAAGCGTTTGAAAGCGGACGACATAAACTGAGTGCCGTTATCGGTCACTAAAATCTCTGAAACCCCAAAACAAGCAAACAATCCTGACAATCTTCTTATTGTACTCTCTGATGTCGTTTTCAGCACATCATATACTTCTGGCCATTTTGTAAAAGCATCGACAACAATTAAGTAATTTCTGCATTGTATTGGTCCGGCGAAATCAACGTGTACTCTTTGCCAAGGCCCGTCCAGTTTTGGCCATGGTTGTGGTTCATCTTTCGTTGGATTCTTCGCAGCCTCTAGACAGGACCAACAACTGCGACATTTTTGTTCTATATCACGGTCCATTGACGGCCAGTATGCATAGCTGCGAGCTAGTGATTTCATTTTACTTATTCCCGGGTGCCCACTGTGAAACTGATTAATGACTTGGTGCCGAAGGCTTCTGGGGATAACGATACGGTGGCCAAACATGATGCACGAGTCGACAACTGTTAAAGAATCTCGTCGACGAAAATATTGTAAGAGTTCTCCATGTAGTCTAGATGAAGGCCACCTGTTGAGTATGCAGCGGTGAACAATCTTCAATGCGTTATCATTCTTGCTAGCTTCCTTAATGGCTTCGAATGTTATCGGGAGTCCGCCTGCAGCTCGATACTGCTTCCGACATCACACTTATCAGTCGAAGAACCTGGAATCTTATCGGAAAACCACAGGTGCTACCGACAACCCAGTTAGCTCATAATGCTTCTGGAGGAAAATTGAACATTTTTGGAGAGGTTTGTTACACAGTTTCAAAAGGAAACGCGAAGACGATGGCAACACTATATCTCACAGAGAACCCAGGACTAGATTTGCTGAGTCTAGACCTATTAGAAACACTACAATTAACAAATAACTCCATTAACCACTTATGCAGCGCCGTGAGAACCAGTAAACCAGTTGAGAAGGATCTGAAGAATGTTGTGTTAGAAAGACATAGTCAAGTGTTTACGGAAGAATTGAGGGAGTGCAAAAAGGCAAAAGCAGTACTGATTCTTAAACCAGGAGTCACCCCCGTCTTCAGACCAAAACGTCCTGTACCCTATGCAGCGTTACCTATTGTTGAACGAGAACTAGAGCGTCTGCAAAGAAGTGGAATAATAGAACTAGTGAACTTTTCTGATTGTGCAGCACCAATAGTGATTGTCAAAAAGCCAAACGGAAGTATCCGACTATGCGTAGATTATTCGACTGGATTAGACGAAGCGCTTGAAGCCCATCAATACCCTTTGCCGGTACCAGAAGATTTATTTGCGAAACTGAATGGGGGTAAGTATTTTGCGAAATTAGACTTGTCAGAAGCTTATCTACAGATTACAGTAGCGGAAGAATGTAAGCATTACTTGACAATAAACACTCATAAAGGGTTGTTCCCCTTCAATCTTCCAACAAGTTATGGATACTATGTTACAAGATATTCCTGGTACTGCGGCCTATCTCGATGACATACTGATCATGGGTACAGACCATGCTAACTTAGAGAATAAGGTGAACACGGTGCTCAAACGCATAGCAGATTATGGGTTCAGATTGCGTGCCAAAAAATGTGATTTTTACATGGAGCAAGTCCGTTATTTGGGACTCATAATCGATAAAAACGGAGGAAAACCTGATCCTGAAAACGTCGAAGCTATCAAGTCCATGCCTCCACCGATGGATGTATCAACTTTACGTTCTTTCTTGGGAATGGTTAGTTATTATGGCGTCTTTCTTTTAGATCTGCATCGCCTTCGTGCTCCTCTTAATTGCTTACTGAAAAAGGATACCAAATGGTTCTGGTCAACCGAATGCCAGGAAGCATTCCTAAAACTAAAGCGGCTTCTATTATCAGACCTTCTACTTACACATTATGACCCAGATCTTCCAATTATAGTCGCGGCAGATGCGTCAAATTATGGAATCGGAGCAGTAATTTCACATACCTATCCTGACGGGTCTGAGAAGGCAATCGCCCACGCTGCAAGATCGCTGACTATGACTGAAAGAAACTAGTCAGATTGAGATTTGTTTCTAATCATACAGATAGAGATGCATCTAAAAGAAACATGCATTTTCTGTGTAAAACTCAAAGTACCAATTCTATTCACTCTATATTTTACAAAATGACTTTATTATTGATATGATTATTTGTAAGCTAGCTACTGCACGCTAGTGGTGAATAGGTTTCGAATTACAATACTTAAGTTTTTAGTGATTTTATAAATAAACACCGCTGAAGAATTACCTAATGTTAAGGTTCAATACATTTTAAGTATTGTCTGGTTGTCAATAGATCATTATTTTTCAGCGATCATTAAATGATTACTATTAAATACACAGTGGCTTGTGTAACTTCTTTTTCTATTTTTAGAAATTTTCGATAGGTTTTTAT